CATTTTAAGAAATCGACCATTTCAATGGATTTCCCAAATATTTTTCCACATTATTCTACCCAGGTTGTACCATTTTCCCATCCCTGAGATCCCATTTCCAACTCCCATTTCCCCAACAGCCCCTGCCTCTGTCCTGTCACAAGATCTGGGATGAAAATAGAGGCTGGATCAGCACAGTATCCCATTACTGCCTGCAGCCTGCAGTGAATTTCCCTGCACCACAGGCATGGATACAGGGCTGCATCCCTGCCTGTGGCCTCAGGGCTCCCTGGGCTCTGTCCCCTCTCTCACCTGGTTTCCAGCCTGGATTTACCTGGGGACACCCAGGCCCTTCTGTGCCTCCATCCCCTGGGCACTGCAGCAGCACAGAAGCCTCAGGGAGCGATTCCAGAGCTGAAAATGCCCCCACATCCCAAACCCAGCCCTGTTTCTGCAGAGGGAAGGGGAAACATTCATCCCCAGGCACAAGCATCCTATTTTTATCTTGTTCAAACCCTACATGGCTCTGTGACTTCTGCTGCAAACACCACATCTCCACCCTAATTATTCTTCATTTTTCAGATTTCGGAGAACTCCCCCCCAGCTCTTAAGCACAGCCCAATGTGACTTTACCCCACAGCTGCTGCTGCTGCTTCTTCAGAGGAATCTTAAAGCAATTTGCACTTGCTTTGCAGGATAAACCTCCCATTGTGTGCTGTTCCCCAAAAATCAGCTTTTCCGGCAGCTGCCTGCAGATCTGGAGCTCTCTGGACTGAGGCTGTTGATGTTCCACATTTGTCCAAGTCAGGAATTAGCTGAAGCACCTCCTGTACATAAATTCTTGGGGCAAAAGCAACCTCAGAAGCCACAGCTGTAACAGGGTCCAAAAAATGCTCTGAGGAAGTTTCCAGATGGCCTTGGGTATGTTAAAATACGTCAGCACCTCCCCTGGACACCCCAACGTGTTCTGGCACTGGGTTTTTCATGGAATCACAGAGCCACTGGGCTTGGAAAAGCCCTCTGAGGCCATCCAGTCCAATCCCCACCTTGTCCAGCAATCCTTGGACACCTCAGCAATGGGGAATCCAAACCTCCCAGGGCAGCCCCTGCCGGCGTTTAACCCTTTCCATGAAGAAATTCCTCCTGAAAGTGCTTTTCGTGAATCGTTAAGGCTGGAAAAGACCTTTAAGATCACCAGGTCTCACTGTCAGCCCTGCACCACCACTGTTTTCAGCCTCAAGTGGCACAATCAGGTATTTTCTGGGCACTTCCAGGGATGGTGACTCCATCCCGTGTCTGTCATTTATCCTTGGAAGGTCTGGAATCTGCAGGCACCACTGCATGGAGAGGGATTATCTGCCTTACCATCAATATAGTGGAAAACACTGGATTTTAAGTCATAAAACTATTTTAATCTGAGATTTTATCTACTTTTCTCCATTCCATGCACGCTGCAAACCCCAAACCCCGGGAAGAGCTCGGAGCCAACCCCAAAGGCAGGAGCAGGCGCTGCCATTTGGCTCTCACGGTCACTTCAAAAGGCTTCGTTCCTAATGAGCAGCTGCATTTCCCCACCAGGAACTGCGGGGCCATAATGGCCCTGCTGCCAAACCCTGCTCATTTCCATCCCTGTGCACAGCCAGCCCTTTGCTCCATGCTAATGTGTTTTCCTAAACAAAAGGAGCCACAGCCAGCCCAGAGCTGACCTTCAAATTTGCTCCTGTGATTTGGATGGCTCTGAGTCTATTTGCCTGGTGGCTCTTTTTTATTTATTTATATTTTATTTCTTTTTTTTTTGAGAGTGGGGGGAGAGTGTTGGGATGAAAAGCGACACATTAATTCCTAAAAAAACACGCGCAAAGGAAGCAGCCAGGAGACAGGAGCTGCTGGGAGCCGTAGTTCCCTGCCAGACACACCCTCAGCCCAGTTATTCCCATTCTCCCTGTTTATAAACAACAAGGAAAATTCAATTCTGTTTCCTCGTCACTTTCCAGGTTCGGGATTTACACTTCGCTTGTTTCACATCACATTTCACATCCCTGGGAAGGGACAGAATTGGGAAATAAACAAAGAAATAAACATCCTCCTTTCAGTGCACCTGAAAAACACTGCCCTGGTAGCATCAGATCCTCAAACCCTGCTCAGGATTCCCTGTGTAAAAGCCAGGACACAATTCCAAAGGAAACAGCTTCCCCCAGGCCGCTTACAGAGGCATTTGGGGAAGTTCATAATACCCATCTTAAGGCTGAATACACTGCAAAACCGATGCTTCCAAAACCACCCCAGAAACCCACCGAAAATGCCCTTTTTTATATCACCAGGTGTGTAAAATAATGAGAAAAACCGCGGGATGGCTTTTGAAATGAGGAAATGAACTGTGCTTTGTCTCCTCGCCGAGCTATCCCTCTGTTCATCGCAGACTGATGGCAGCAGATGCAGGATCCCCTCCTCCTCCTCCTCCTCCTCCTCCTCCGCCTCCCCCAGCAATTGGTTCTGCTTCCCTGGCAGCCCGTGGAGGAAATCCATGGCATCGCCCTCCCACCCCAAACAAACAGGAAAACCCCTAAAAAACCTCCATGGTGTTCTCTATCCACGATAAACCAGCGCCTGTACCCAACGGCGGAGCAGTCTAGCCTGAAAATACATTTCTGGAGACGAGCCAAGAAAAGTGAAGGCACTTTCAGCCTGGAGAGCAGCCACAATGTTTAACACTTAAAAACTGGGTATTCACTGAGTTACTCTTGTATTAAATGTCCTTAAAAAAACCCCTCTGACAAAACCCACACGCAAAAGATCCAAGACTAAAAAAACCAGCCCAAGAGTCAAGTTGGGAATTTTCAAGTTCATGTGTCAAGGGGATAAAGTTGATACAAAATCCTCTCTATTCTTTAGGAAACCACAGTTCTCAGGATGTACATGAAAGGAGAGGAGCCATCTGCTCTGTCTATAAATCAGCTTCTAAATTATCAGAGATTGTTTTCATTTTAAAGCAGACTAAATAAATCATCGCTAGCACAGGCCACGGGGATACACACAAAATGTGGAATTATTCTAAAAGACATAAAAGACACGGTTTGCTTGTGAACCTACCCCCCACAACAGTTTCCTCAGGAAATCCACACTGATAAAATATCTCTCTCTTGCCTCCTCTTATATTTAAGCTTAAGGAGTTTTTTCCAGCAGCACAATCATAAAATAAATAAAAATAAATAGAACACCCTCTTGTACTGACATCTCCACAGCTTTCAAAGCAAAATTCCTTCTCCCCCCATCACAGACTGGTGAGCTCAGCTGGGAAAAAGGTACAAGAGCAGAGCATCTTTTAGGGCGGAAAGCAGAGCTGGATGTGCTTGGTGCTGCTTTCACCATAAACACTGCTGCTGCTTTGTTCTAGCTTTTTAATATTTTATTTGGTTTTTGTGTTCTCCATTTTATGCTGATTTAACAGTTCCAGCTGTGCAGCTCCCTAGGCAGTCTCCATATTCATAATTATTATTATTGGATAAACATGTATTTGAGTGGGGCAACAGATGATATGCAGATAATTTTTCTTTTGCTTACTCCCATTTATTTCCCCTGGGAAAAAAAGAAAAAAACCAGCAAAAACCCCAAAGCAAGCCGCTTTATTGTGCCCTCCCACAGCTGAGAAAGGCAGTGTGGATGTGTCAGGGAGGCGATGGCTGTGCAATCGCAGGGAGCAGTCTGGCACTGAGCACGGAGAGCAGGAATGTGCAGCCACGGGGATGGGAGGGTGTGGCCGGGCCAGATGCAGAGCTGGATACGGGAAGAGCTGCCGGCAACGGGAGCACAACCCCTCCTTTACTGCACAGACCCTCTCGTCAGCGCTGCTTTTTGGGCTTTTGGCATTAAAGAGAGCCTAAAGTGCAGCGCTTCGGATCAGGGCGGGTGCTGCGCTGGTGTTAAACAGGTGGCTGGGGTTTGGCAGCAGCCCTGGGGACACTGGTGGCACTGGTCACCACGACAGCGACTGTCACCACGAGAGCAGGGAGAGCCCCGGCAGCGGGAATTGCTTAAGGAGATAGAAATGCTCAGCCTGGGGAGAGGTGCTGGGTACGGAGCCAGGGATGGAAGACGGCAAGGACACACCGACAGCTCCAGGGAGCGCAGGGACACGGACACAGCGCCGGGAGCCGGACACCAAAAGCGGAGCCGAGAGGGGCTCGGTGACATCTGCGAGGTGGCGGCGGCACAGCCAGCCCGGGATGCTCTGGAGGGACGGGGGACACGGGGCTGAGCAGGACAGGACGGGACAGGGAGCAAACACTGGCGGAGCCCAGCGCGGCTCGGGGAGCGCTCCCCGGGGAGCGCCGGCACGGACAGCGCCGCGAGGAGGGACGGACAGACGGACGGACGGACGGACAGCACAGGATGCACTCCGGACGGGATGGACAGCACAGGGATGCGGCTCGGAGGAGGGATGCCGGCTGGGGCGGGGCCGGCGAAGGTGTGGCCGCTCCATCCCGCCGCTCCCAGCCCAACCTGCCGCTCCCGAACGCGGGCGGTGGCGACTGGGGCGGCCACCGGCGGCTCCCGAGCGGCCACGGCGGGGCCACCGCCGCACCGCTCGCGCCCGGGGCCGCTCCACAACGGCAGCGCCCCGCGCCCCTCCTTTTTCTTTCTTTTTTTCTCTCCTTCTCCTCCTTCTCTTTTCATCATTCCAGCCGCTCCACGGCCATCGCATCCCTCGCTCGCTCCCCGGCCGCGTCCGTGCCCGGCTGGCGGAGGGCGGCGGCCGCGGAGCATCCCGGCGGTGCGCACCGAGCCCGCCGCGACAGCCGCAGCATCCCCTCCGCGCCCATTGTCTGCGCTCCCCGCGCACCGACCCGCACGGCCCCGCCGCTGCTCCCCCACCCAGGGGCAGCCCGGCCGCCTCTTCATCCTCCTCATCCTCCTCCTGCCGCTGCCACCGCCGTCCTCCCGCCGCGGCCCCCCCGCAGCATCCCGGGGTCCGCCCGACCCCATTGTTCGCGGCGCGCCCCCGCCCCCGGCGCCCCGCGTACCTGCGGCTCGCAGCAGGACGAAGGCGCAGGGCAGCACGGCGAGCGGCAGCAGCATCGCACCCATGGAGCCGCTCGCCGGGGCTGCGGGCGCGGGGAGGGCGCGGAGAGCCGAGCCCGTGTGGCCGCTCCGCTGCGCTCGCTGCGCCCGCCGCGTCCCGGCGCCGCCGCGCTCACTGACAGCGCCGCGATCCCTCCGCCCGCCCCCCGCCCCGCGCTGATCCCTCCGCCACGACAAATAGTGCCCGCTGCGCGCCCGGCGGGGACCGCGCGGAATGAACCCGCTCTCATTCTGGAATGGGCAAAGAAATAAATAAACCCGCAGATCAGCTTTGATAATTGCTGTCGCATTGTTGGTAGCTGTCATGGCATCGTTTTTAACTATTACCACATGATTATGCTCTTATATATGATAAATTACATATTATAATTATATATTATAATATAATTATAATGTATTATTAATATATTATCGTTTATATTATATTCATTTTTGTCACATTATTATCATCATAGCATCATTACTAATTATCATCACATCATTACATTGCATTATATTATATTATATTATATTATATTATATTATATTATATTATATTATATTATATTTATTATATTATATTTTATTATGTTTATATTATATTATATTATATTATATTTTATTTTATTTTATTATATTATATTTTATTTTATTATATTATATTATATTATATTATACTATACTATATTATATTATATTACATTACATTATATTACATTACATTACATTATATTATATTATATTATATTATATTATATTATCAATTATCATGCCATCAGTAACTATTATCACATTAACATAAAAATAGATATTATTAATAATTTATTATTAATTATAATTAATAGTATTATAATATATAATATATAATTATTAGGAGTCTTGGAGAGATCATTACATCAATTAAGGCAGCTCTTTTTCCCTGCAAGCTGACATCCCCAAAAATTGGAGCAGAAGTTATGTGAAGAGAGAATATTGCACGCAACAAATACCAGGAATTATTGTGCACGGTGGGGGAGCGGTTGTTCCAGCAGATCTTTATTCCCATTAAACAACATTTCAGTCCATGGTGTGGGAATTTTAACTCCCAGGGTGGATAAAGGCAAGAAATCACAGGGAATTCAGCAGAGGAAAAATCACCCCAAACCCCCTCCAGCTCAGGGATGGGGCAGAATAAAGGAGAATCTGGAGACACCATTTCACCTGTAGCAGAATTCCAGAAATACGAGCTTTTCTCTCAAAAATACTCCACAGAGCAAAGACACCAAGTGTCTAGCCTGAATTTAAGCCTCCAAGTGATTTAAAAACAAAATAATGGATTTTTATGATGAAAATCCAATGGAGGTGAGTCCCAGGCATATCCAAATGGAATGAGGTGCTCCAAGTACATTACCTGACACATTTCCCTTTTTTTTTGGCCATTAACAGAGGTTTATGGGCCGTGCACGTGCATTTCTTTTAGTTAATATATAAAATGAAAAGGGGGAAAAAAAATCCCATCAATCAATAACTGAAGTGCAGGTTTCAGTTATTGACTTCACCGGGTACTTGGCATAAAAGCCAGCAGGAAATTTGAAGTTTTCTGCCGCATTTAAAAGCAGCAGCAGTGGAATCTGTCAAATTAATTCCACTTCTGCTATGCAAATATAATAAAAGTGAATTTTAACCATACAGGCATTTCACAAATATTAGACCCAGATTTGTAAGCCACAAAGCAGAGCTCTCCCTTTTTTGTAGGCTCTGGAGAAGGGACATAATTAGGGAGTGCACCTCAGAATTCCCCCTGCTCAGACGGGGATTATTCTGTGCTCTGCAGACGTTTATGGTGATGGATAACAACACTATGCAAAACGACCTCAAATCAATATTCTTCACAGCCAGGCTATAAAAGCAGAGATAGTTCCTTGAAACATCCCTCTCCTTGTCACGGATTATTTTTAAAAGTCTTTATATAGAAGAGAAGAAAATCTCCCTTTCCTTGTTTGGACGCCGTGGCTCACAAAGATGTTCATGTGCTCTGGTGATGTCAAAAGGAATCAGGGTGAATTGGAGAGGTAAAATTAGAGCCCACAAATCGAGAATCCGAGCACTCCAAAGCTCTGGTTTGTGTCCATACCTGGAGCCAGCTCCAAGCTGGAGCCGGGATTTCTCCTGGAGTTCTGCTTCCATGCCCAGAGCTGTGAGAATAGGGGTGTGGAGCTGTTAGTCATGGAAATATCCAGGGAAAGGGACCTCATGGCCGTGCTCTGTCAGCCTGACTCACAGCTCACATGTCACCCAGCTGATGGCGTTCCTGGAAGTCACCTGGCACTTGTGGGAATAAAGGAAATCTTCCATCTCTGAAGCCAAAATGTTAAATTTAACATGCACGCTTCCGTGTATAAAACCATTGCACACTGCCAGTGTGCAGCAAATGTCTCATTTTAATATTTTTAACCTACCCAGTCAACTCTGGTGCTTCAGTTCAGAGGAGAAAAGGATTATCAGCTGAGCAGAATAGCAGAAATTAAGAGGGTTGTAAAGAGTACATGAGGATTAATTGACTGCTCTCTTCCACTCTTCCCGTGGTGTCACCGGTTTCTGTTTAAATTTAAAATATTAAGGATATTTAAAGCACCTCCATCACCCAGTGCCTCTAAATAACAGATATCAGCATCACTAATACCTGGCTATTTTAAAAGAACAGCTGTTCTAGTTGCTGCTTTTATTTATAATAATCTCAATTCCAAGCCTCACCATCGTGTCATGCACATTACTGCAAGTGTAAAACCAGTGTGTGCAAAATTAGTATAGAAGAGACTAAAACAAGAGGGTGTCTCATGGTAGCAAGCAATAAAGGATTGCTTTAATTGAAAAAACCCATCCCTCAGTCTGCTTTGATTTTAAAAAAGTATAAATATGCCCGGCAGGAATGTTCAAGCACATGTGAAAGTTATGAGGAACCACATTCTCTGCACATGGAGCTGCAGTGCCAGACCCACACTCCACAGATTTATCCCACAGAATTCCCTCTAAAGCACCAGCCACCACTGGACTCAGAAATTTAATGAACCCCAACCCCAAAAAGCAAAGAACTATCAAAAAAAAAACAGAAAAAAAACAAGAGTAATTGACAACTTTTTGCTCCTCTCTTTCCTTACCACAGGGAAAGTTCCAGAAGACGAATCCACTGGAGCAGAACTGTGCTTTAAACTTTCCTCTTGCAGAGAGGCAGCTAAACAGGATTCTGCTGATTGCCCACAAGGCAGGCAGGTAGGCAGTCATTCCATGAGAAAAAGGAGTCATTCCATTTTTAAATCTGCCCAGAGCAGAGCTGAATGTTTCCCCAACATTTTTTGGTTGTGACTGGATTTCAGGCACAGAAGAACAAAACTTGTAACAGAATCTCACTCTCTGATTCTGTGTTATGTCAGCCTCACATTTCTCTAAAAATATTGTGGAGAGGATAAAAATATGAGTAAAGGAGTGTTTCTATTTTTACATAATGGTCTTAAGATGGTGCTGAAATGCAATGAGAAAGAAAAAGATCCTGGAAAATTCTTGCTGTTGAGACAAAAATCATTTTTTTTCTGGAACTGGATACATCCTCTGCTTTGTTAGCAAAGCCTGGATGGAGGCTCTGGGATTTACAACATCCAGGCTGCTTTGAGGCACTTCCCAGGCACATCTGGATGTTAAAATTCAGCCATGGAACCTTTGGGCACCACGTTTGGCATTTAATCTTTGCCATCACCAGCCTGGGGGCCCGAATTCACTCGTGAGCATCACCCCAAGACCCCAGTGCTGCCCCTCCAGCCCTGACCACGATTTTCAGAGCTCTGCCTCATGGACCTACCCTTGATTTTTAGTCAGTTTTCATTGCTGCTGCTCTTGTGCTCCAGTCTGAATTGAAGTGACATGAAATGATTTCCTAAACACAAGATGCTGCTCCACAGTCAGGTACTTCATATAAAGCATTCAGCAGCAATGGATGTGGTGGTTTTCATCTACATGTAAGGGTTAGGAGGTTTTAGGTTGGCATGAATGCCACTCAAGCCATGCAGATGGGATCAGGAGAACATCTTTAGTGTGGCTTTAGCTCTCTTCACACAAGTTTCATCTCTGATGAGGAATTGTTGGGCGACAGATCAGCGGTTCTGTGCTGGCAGGAGCGGTGCCAGATGATGTAAGATGATGCATTTCTCTGGCAGATGTCTGCCATCTGCACAGCTGCTCCAGCCTCTCCTGGAGAAGGGCTGTGCTCGTCATGGAAGGGGAAAAAAACAACACAAACCCCTCTTGCTATCACTCAGGATCCTCTTTGAAGCCATTCTGACCCCAGTCAGGTAGGATGATCAGGGGCAGACACCGCCCCTGGCAATCAGGGGGTCCCTAGGGCCTGTAACTTGTCTTGATAAATCTCCTGGAAACAAACACATCATCACCCCTAAATACAGCTCAGCTTGTGCAGCTTCCCCTGCACTCCAGCAGCAGCCCTGGAGAGATGCTGGAATTCGGCACGTTCCCCCATTATTTCATATTTCCCATTTCACAAAACTCGGTTTCCCCAAGCCCGTATTGCTCTGAAACCCCAAACTCGGCGTCTTTTAACAGCACAGCCCCTGCTGAGGGCACAGCCAGAACAGGCCAAAGTCACCTTAGCTGAACACATTTAGGAATTTGATTTAGTGATGTGTCTCGTGCTTCCCTGTAGGGAACCTGTGGCCAGAAGGAAGCTGAAAACAGAGCTTACACCGTGCAGCACAAGGCCAGTCCTCAGAGCAGGATGGAAATAAAGGCAAGAACAACAAAATATCCCTTCCCCTCTCCCTCATGCCCTTCTCCAAATGTAAACTCCATAACAATAATGTGAGTAATTAAAACCTAAGCTGTGATTTGTCCTTTCAAGTGTATTTAATGTTACAAAGCCTCTGCAACTGTGGGATCTTGCCCCTTTTTTTTTGCCATTTCAAGGTTTGTTTCTTGTTATTCCAGTTCCAGATTAGAAGGGATGTAAATATTTTCCTTCTCAAAGCCAAGCTATTCTGCAAAGATGTTTTTTTTCTAAATGAAAGCCATTGCCATTCCACAGCCCACA